TGTCATCTACATATAATTTCACAAGCTATTTATTTCAAATCCATTATTTTTCAGAGTATTCTGTTCCCAAAAGAAAGACAATTTATCAATGATAGATTTCCTAAATGCAGTCGGACAGCTCAAGTTTCGCGGAACGTCTCTTCTTTTCCGACTTCCACATCGCTCAATTGCTCATTCTAGGTAAATATGCATTATAGATGATGAGTAAATCACTAATTTACCAAATTCCATATCTATTACCTGTACAGAATTGCTCCGTGTGTCATCATTCTTTATCACTTTCATTATCTGTCATTTAAATTGGTTAAGATCTCTTAGCTCAAGACCTGATTTCCTATTGAAGGTTAGTGCATCAATCACATGTTACAAATAAATTAAAAAATGTTTGTGCTGCAATATACTTAAATTTGATACTGTCTGTATTAACCTAATATACTTAAACTATAAATACAATATTATAATTGCTTTAGGAAATTAGATTTCAATAGAAAATTTGAACAAAAAAACTGTTTTCCTAGTCAGTTATCAGACTAAAAACAACTATGTTCTTATGTTCTTTGCAGATACCCTTTGATTGGCTAGTTATCAAATTAAATATTTCATATTCAAAAGTTTGTAAATCAGTACTTAGCCTTATGAATACAAGTGATGTATAAATCAAATAGGTAATAATACAGTGCTAAAATATATAGGAACATGATGTTAGAAATCGTATCAAACATGGTCCATCAACGAAAGTTTCTTATTAGTTGGATGAAAAAAGAGGCCTCTCTCACTCACTATCTCAGCAAGCGCCATACCGTTTAGACCACAGAGGCCATACGAAATTATTATAAATATAAGACCACTAGAAATTATATATGATCTTAATTTTTAGTAATTTTTCTATACTAATGTCATTATTAATATACTTATTATTAGTACAGTATTAGCAGAATGGCTAAATTTACTTTTTAATACCTCACTTTATATTTCTTTGTAGCTCCAATTGCAATAACTCTGATGATGATAATGGACACATTAAACAAAAACTGAAACGAAAGAAAAGAGATTCATCAAACGAGTCGTTATCTTTCAACAGCATCGACCAATCAAGTGAAGGTTAGTCTAGAGTAAACCTTGAATATGGAGTTTGTTTTTAATCGGTTTTTGAGTCATTAAATTTCTACTGCACATTTCTTTACAGTAATCCTGTTAGGTGGGTGGGTGTTTTAATAATTATTTTCTTGATCGGTTTTATTTATGTTGTTTTAGAAAACTATGAACTGAGTGACTTGGAAGCAGCTAGCATCTTCAAGTCCCCTGAAGTACGTTCACCATCTGCAGATGATGACGTTGGTGATTATGAATTAGCCGTACATTCGGTAAAGGTTCGTCGCAGTGGGATGCTCACAGATATCCGCAAACTATGGGAAATTCCTGCAGGTAATTATTTCTTTGCATAATAAAAATAAAAATGATAATAATCATAATCATAATGGTACAGTATTGATAATAATGATATTAAAAGTAAGAATAAAAATAATAGCAACAACGTCGTTATAATAAAATTAGTAATAATCAAATTAAGAATATTCAATATACTAATGATAAGAAAAGCAATTAGTATAGTTGTATTCTGTACACTAGATGAGAATTTGTAGATGAAGAATTGAAGTAATGCATGATTTTTTATAATGCATAAGTTTATAATGCATAGTTTTTTAATAAATGTGAAAATATGTATTTGAAAAGAGGTATGATCAAAATAACATAAATAAGAAATAAGTATTGTTTAATAACATTTTTTGTAAAGGTGTATGTTTGTTTTCTGTTTGTAGGAGCAAGTGCTGTATCACAAACTGCCATGAAAGAACTTGAAACTGACAAGACAAGGTTCAACAGACTGTCATCCATGGACTCATTCAATCAGGTTTGTGCTCTAGCCATAGCATTCTCAAAGGGCTCCCTCTACCCAAGATATGGATCAGGTTTGTGTTCTAGTCAAAGCATTCTTGAAGGGCTCCCATAACCCCAGATATGGATCAGGTTTGTATTGTATTCGTAACATCTAAAGGGCTCCCTTTAGCCAACCTATATATAACACAACATTTCTTCCTAAAGATGAGTGATGTTAATAATAATTTTGGTGGTAGTGGTTGGGATGATGACTGGTAATAATTTTGGTGGTAGTGGTTGGGATGATGACTGGTAATAATTTTGGTGGTAGTGGTTGGGATGATGACTGACAGAGGCGGATGGTTGACTTTAAGAGACCGTGCACTGCTTGCCACCACACCTTATTACTACTAAATTTATTATCATTTTTGTTTTAAATCCTTTTTTAATTGTTGTTATGTGCATAGAGGCAGTTTCTTGCTATATGCGCATAAATAGCAATTTATTATTATTATTATTAATAACAGTGGTGGCTTTGATGGAAGATTTTGTCGGTGGTGATTGTAGTGATAATAGATGATTGGTGGTAGTGCTAGTGATGATCAGTGATTGTTGTGGTGTTGGTAAAGGTATTATGTTTTAAAATTGTTTTTTAACAAGGGTGAAACACAATCAGTGTCAGTCACTGCTTTTCATTTGAGTCCTGAAAGAAGACACATTTTTAACCACAAGAAAAACATATTTTTCACCACCATACACTGAACTACCTTATAATATTAAATATTCACTTGTTCTCTCCCTTACATATTTCATTTTCTTACTTTAACACAACTTGCTGAATGTCAACACATAAAGTCTGTTAATGTCTCTCGCTTGAATGTGAATTTTAACTCTTGTATATACTTTCTATACTTCAATTGTATTTTGTTATCTACTTTTAAATGTTAGCTTTTAAGGGGTTGGAGAATCACTAGATAGTTGATTTAATTCAACTTTTTGATTATTCGGTCTACCCCTTAATAGTTTGTTTTTTTTGTATCAATTCTTTGTTGTGAAATGAAATGTGGGTGATGATTTTGGTGGTGGATAATAAAATTGTGAAGATGCTGTTGGTGGTGATAGTGGTGGTGATGGTAGCAATGGTCATAATAATGGCATGTTGATGAAAGTAAAATTAATGTTCTGAATATTACACTTCAGAAATCTCATCCAAATGAGATGTTAACTGGCTTGAGATACTTTGAACGAGCTGTAAAGCAGACGAGTCAACAACAACCCAAACCACCATTTAATTGGGGTAACGTTGATACTTCATCACTTGCTAAATGTCTCCTAGCTATCTGCAGGGAGGCTAAGCAACTACTGGCAGAGGAGCCTAGGTTACTCAGAGTCAGTGCACCAACTTATATTTTAGGTAACTTCTTCTAAATTGTTTTTTTTTTTAATTATACAGTCATTGAATGTTTTATATATACCTTTATTTATTCGAATAAATGCCCCGCTTTGAATAAATGCACCCCTTGAATACATGTCTCCCTCAAATAAGCATCCGGAGCGGTTTTTTTTCTCAAATAAATTCCCCTTAAAGCAACATCATTTTATTCACAACACATTCCATTAATGTTCTACTTCGGTAGAATTACATTTGGTTAGGATAAATACATCTTTATGACCAAGCAATAACACATTTTGTTGGTAATTATGTGTTGTAGTTTACAGTCAAATTAGGGGCCATTTATTTGAGTATATACATATAAATTTTACACCCAAAAAAGTAAATGCCTCCTTCGAATAGACACCTCCCTCGAATAGCCGCCGCCTATGAATAAACTCCCCCTCAAAAACCCTTCTTAACCATAAACACCCCAGAGCGTTTATTCAAATAAATAGTGTTTCTTTTTAGAAAATCAAAATCAATTAGACTTTAGATCTAATTTTTATTCATAACATTGACATTGACATTTTAGGTGACATTCATGGCAACTTCCGTGACTTAATTTGCTTTGAGAAGGCATTGTGGAGAATGGGACCGATGCTGACACCGAGCTCATTCTTGTTTCTTGGAGACTATGTAGACAGGGGAGAGCATGGGGTCGAGGTAAGAGTGCTTATGCCTGTTAACATGGGGGAGGAGGTAAGACTACTTAAGCTTGTCAGCATGGGGAGGAGGTAAGACCGTGTTAAGGCCGGGCACTCATCGCACCTGACAAGAGTCTATGGAGCATGCAGCGCCACAACGCGCACGCAACGCATCATTTCGATCCATTCAGACTGCCACCGACAATCAGCAGACAGCATCGCAATGTCTGGCGTTCACAGGGAGTGGAGTTAGGTTCGATCATACGACCATCATACAATGCATTAAGTGCCCGGCTCTAGACAAGCTATAGCCATAATATCGGCGCTGGTTCGAACGGCACGCTTGCCTATGGTTCTGGTGGTAGAACAAGTCTCGGATAAACCGTAGGCCCAGTGTATACAATGGCTTCTGTGCACTATAAAGAACCCAGTACGTCCTTCGAGATGAGTAGTGGGGGTACTGGAACAGACAGCCCCTGTGGTGGACGACAAGAGTTGCTGGTACCGGGTTACCGGGTAGCACAGACACAAAGGGACCCTTAAGGGCGAAGAAAGTCATTGATCGAGTTCCTAGTCCACATATCAAGCGCCCTGAGCATCTTACATTAGATGGATGTGCGCTATATAAAACTACACTAGTATTATATTATTATTATTATTAAGATGAAAGTGAACATGAGGTCGTACTTTAGTATACTATACTATTTTGTATCGTACTACCTATTATATAATAAATTAAATCATGTATCATTCTAGGTTGTAGCATACCTATTAGCTCAGAAACTATTGGCTCCAAGTAAATTTTTTCTAATCCGTGGAAACCATGAACTCAGAGCAGTACAGACAAACTTTTCATTTCAAAGGTAAATATGAAATTTAGTTTTTGTGTACAAAGATTGCCTGTAGTGGCAATTTGATTGGTTGAAAACAAGGTCATGTGGGATTCAATTACAATGACTATTCCTTAGTTTTTGAGTGACTAGTCACTCATCAACATTCATTATTTGTGTAATATATCATAATATATAAGATGGGCATTAATATAACTTCCCCTTTACCTAGACTGAAGACATCAGAGAAAGCAACCAATAATGATAATTATAGTCTTGTATATCACATCATGATGTGTCTGTGCTGAACAACTATTATTTTAATTCATCTGTAATCTCCATCATAGTGCCACTGAACTTCGTTTCTGCCGACGGTATTGGCACTCTATAAATAGCTGTTGATTGATAGATTAATTTAATGGACTTTCATGTTATAATGTGGTTTCACCATCTTTCCTGGTGTGGAAAGTGCCATGTAAATACTTTTCCTTATGCCACTTCTCGTCCAGAGTTTTTCACTGTTGGTCCTCCAACTGAGTTGTTAAGCCATTGGACCACCAGCTGAGGTCTTAAATTGCTTTTCCTCCAGGAGAGATCTTAAGCTGTTGATCCTCCAACAAGAATCTTAAGCTTTCAGGTCTCCAGCTGCACTTCATATTCTTGTGTCATACCAAATGACATTGAGGGGGCTATTTACTGTTACTTCTGAGCAACAGTTTGAATTTGTATTTTTTAACCAGGGAATGTTTCTCCAAGTTTGGTAAAACCATCGGTCAACAGGTGTGGGAAGAGATCAACCTGTGCTTTGATGTCATGCCCTTGGCAGCTGTTGTTGATGACAAGGTACCACACGACAATGGTTTTTATTTCATATAAAAACAAAGAATATATGTTCACTTCTTTTATGTAAAACTGAAATACACTTGCAAATCATCAAAAATTTAAGTAAGTTTGTTCATTTCATTAATTTGTTGAAAATAATTGCATAAAAACAGGCTCCCAGGGTGAGAATTTGTGTACAGCTTGACATAGTTATTTTGTTTGTACTTTTAATTCATAGCCCGTCATGCTTTCTGTGTTGGCAATTAACTTGAATAACTGTACAAGTAACAGGTTGTTGACTTTTTAGTTCCTTCTATGATCGGTCTTATCTTGGCATGGCAACATATTCCGTAGGTTTAGTTTTGGAATACTTCATCTCTATCTTTAGCTTATGACGCGCACATCCCATCATTCCTCCAACTGGGTTTACGCTTACAACTTACAAGTAAGACTTTAGCTAAATGTCTACAGCCTCCCCTGGAGCAGTAGACACAAAAATTACAAAGGCAGCCATGCTTGGCTGGATTGCTCAAACATGACCTTCTAGATCAACTGTCAGGAGCTGTCCAATTAGGTCTGCTCAAGAGATATGTGGTTCTTCCTTTAAATACCGTAGCTGACCATGTGAGATGAGACCATCGCAAACCCTTAATTGACAGTAGTGATGATGAAATGTATTTTAACATTGATTTTATTTTAGTTAGGCTGATTAGGTACATAACAACCATTCTATGCGCTGTATAAATGGATTGTGCTGTGTGAGTGAATGTTATTGTCGTTGTAGCGGGCCACTGCCGTGCCCTTTGTTAATAAACCATGCGTAGTAGCAGTTACGAAAGCGGCATCAGTTGTCTAAATATGCTGTTATGGTGAATAAAATAACTTTAAGTGTATAATTTTCTTTCTCAGATTTTCTGTGTTCATGGAGGCATACCCCGTAGCAAGACTGAAGCTAGCATTATTTTAGAAGATATTAATAGTATTCCAGTACCCCTTAAAGATCCAGAGACAGAGAGCCCTCTAGCCTGGGACATTATGTGGAGTGACCCTGTAAGGTAAATTGAAAAAAAATTCTTAAACCTCAACAAACCATTGCTGCCACCACAAAGAGTTTGTGGCTGATTGTGACATATTTCTCATTGCAAACTCTTTTGTATTTCATTTATTTAATTATTTGTTTATGTACGCTGTATTAGTACCGGTATGTGCTCGGCAGATTTAACCAAGCTGTGCTCTTCGCATTCGACTTTCCTGCTCAAGAAATTCAGCTGTTCTTCCTGGGCAACGTTTGCTCATTTAAAGTCAGGCCCCAGAAGAAAAACATTTTTTGATATGTTTTACAACTGATTTTTCCAAGACACAACAAGTATATTTGACGAAAAACAAGGGAACCTTTATCCCCCAGTTTTTAAATATTCAATAATCTGTTTTCATCAAATATGCTTTTTATGTCTTAGAAACATCAGTTGTACAAAATATAAAATGTTTTCCTCCAGAGCATGCCTTTAATCTTACCATATGACATGGATAATTTGACCAATGAGAATGTTTTGCAGGCTGTTTCTTTGTTTTGTTTTTTATTGCAACCTAAATAGGGATGTTTTTTATTCACTTATGTTGTTTGTAATACTTGATGTGGCCTCAGTAGCAAATAAAATTAAAATATTGAATAATGAATTTGATCAAATTATTCACTAGATCTGAATCGATGACTGACGAACTCAGTAAAGAGTTGACAGACAACAATGGGTTTGCTTTCAACAGTAGACGTGGAACAGCCAACTTCTTTAGCTCACATGCGTTAGAAAGCTTCCTAGAGGTCAATAACCTCTCACATGTTGTCAGGGCACATGAGGTGCAACAAGTTGGATTTAAAGTAAGTTTAAAGTTTAAGACTTTCTATATACAAATAAGTCTTGCAATAAATCCGCTGACAATTTTACATATAATAATGTTATAATAAAGTTGCAGGTTGGTGTTTTTAAATAGAAACTAAATAATATGGCAAAAAATACTAAAAAAAAAATACTACAACATGTCAGGCATGTCATCCCCAAACCAGCATCTGTGACCAAGAAATGAAAATTGACTTTTAATATATTCTTGATCTCCACAATGTAGGTTTTAAAATGATGGTCACTTACTTTTGCCAAAGTTATTATCGCTTCTCTGTACTAAAGTATACAATACTGGCACATTCATATGCTAACAGTAAACAGTCTAACAAACAGCTGGTTTTGGGATAGCAAGCCTCATATATGAAGGCTATAATAATGTTTTGTTGTATGAATGTTTAGTGTTTGAGGGTATCTAACCACGAAATTGACAGCATATAATGAATGTTGTAATAATGTTTTATGTTACTTGGATGTTTGTTTTCACAAATTTTTTGTTTCATCTTTGATTATATTAGGTTCAGCTGAAGGGCAAGTTACTCACGGTGTTTTCATCATCTCATTATTGTGGAGGATGCAACGAGGCTGCTTGCATTTTAGCTGACCGCAAGAAACTGCGCACAATTCGGCTTGACACATCTTAACTAAACCATAACATGATAGTGATAAGTATTTTCTTGATGATCAGTTAAACGATTAACTAATTAAACAATTACTTGATTAACTAATTAATCTGCTTGTAGAAAGCATTTAATAGGCATCTTAATTCAGCAGATGAATCGTGTCTTTGAATGTTTTTGCCTCATAACTGAACAGCTAACTCGGCAGAGCAAATTAGTAGATAACATGGTGGATAAAGTAAATTAAATTATAAATTTTGTGTCTTATGTAGCATTTCATGGCAACAAAGCTTCAAAGTGCTTCGCATTATCAGGTAACTCGATTGATAGAGCCAATTATTAGATAATTTGTTTGATAAGCAACCAAAGAATAACCTTTTTGGTTAAGAAAATCAGCAGATAATCTGGTTGATAAGCAACATGACAGATAAACAAGTCAGTAAATTAACTTAAACTAGTTTGTAAAGCAATTTAATAAAGTCTTGTTTCCCTAAAATCGCTACAATGTCGCTACAGTGTTTTCAGCGCAATCTTTATACTGCCTTGAAGTCTCTGAATGCTCCCTAATTCCACCAACCTTTCAGCATCACAGAAAGCTGTCAGCGATAGCGTATAGTGATTGTATGGTGACCAATTTTAAGTTAATAGATTGACAGAGCTACCTAACAGATGGCTCAGTTAAGCAGAGAGTATGCAAGGCCTGTTGGGTACAAAAATTCAAAGTGCCTAACTAAATCCCTATTCCAATGAAACATGATACTTTGTATTTTTATAACCCACTTATTGGAACTAATATGCTGTCATGGGGGGTGGGGGGAGGGGGTTGTGTCTGTACCTTCTCCCCCAGCTTATGCCCTCATAAAACAGCCTAAAACAGATCTGTCTTTGGTTTGATAACCAATGGCCACAATGTTAGTAACAGCTGTCCATATATCTTATAGTATTACATACTTGCACAGTACTATTAAATTGTAAATTGTATAATTATCATCTTGTGTCTAGATACAATTTCCATGAAAAGTTAAAAGTCACTTCTACAGTCTTATTCCTAATGCCAGAGACAGGGAAACCAGGAGTGACAAATTATGTGCTCATAAAAGTGTCTTTAAAAATTCTCTATATAAAACTATTGTAATTTGTTGGCTTTGGAAGCCTGAGTCGCCATGTTTATTTACTGCATTATGCAGCAAAGTATTTTCAAACTGTTTTAAACTGGGTGAACTATGCTTTTGTCGCCATTACAACTTGACTCAACTCGTTGCTGGTGGCGCAGATGTCAACTTTCATCCATGTTAGTGTAACTATGCACAACTGCAAGCGACTGTATACCACTAGTTGCCTGGATATGTTTATGTTACTTCCGACTTTAAATTATCTACAACTAGATGCCATGCAATGCTACTGTAATTGGATAAAACATTAACATGTAAGATACTAGAGTTACTAGGTTACTTCAGTCACATGACCAATTTCAATCACTTGTGAGTTGCTTTAGATCTCAGCGAAACATTGGCAACTGATTGAAAGCGATTTTCAGTTGCTTTTTTCAGCGCAAGAGTACTTATGTTTGTCGCTTCAAATCATGTGACTCAGTTGTTCAAAGTTGCCGGCCAGTTGCCAAAGCTCGGTTGAGTTGAAGTTCCACGGGCAACTAATCACACTTTTTAGTGTAGCATGTTCTATAAAATTATAATGCAAATAATCTACTTAGGATTGCTATTTAAAAACATTTTACTTTGAGTAAAAGGTAACAGTTGAGAATGTCTCAGTGTCTAGAGGTTTTATAGAGAACAATAAATATTATTTTATCACCTCTAGATGGAAGTAATCACAATATAAATATTATGACAGGAACAAACCATGTTCTAAATTGTTTTTTTAATGAGATAAGAGATATATATTTTTAAATATTAGGCATTCGCTGTAGATAGAAAATTTGTACTGTATTTGGGACTAGATTCTTCGCCAGATTTTAGTTTTCCTTTACAAAACATTAAGAAGTTTCAAAATAGTTTTAATCAAAGTTTTGTATTATGGTAGTATAGAATGTAGTTCTACATTTATTGGTATTTATGCATGTTTTTTCAGGGTGTTTAAGTTCGTTTTCGTAAGTCCTTAAAGACAGAGGTTATTTTTAGAAGAAAAAAAAGATTAATTTTATGTGTGCAATTTAGAATTTTTAGTAAGTATGCCTGACCAAAATATACAGCAATAAGTGAAGTAAAATGTTAATATTATGTAAATAAATGAACAGGACTATTTCTGTTTTTCTTTTCATGTTTTATTTAGTCGTATGATTACAATGACAATGATGTGAAGGGTGTAGATGATGGTTATATTTATGACGTTGATGAGGATAATGTTATTGAGAATGATTTTTATGAGGAGGACAGAAAATCACGCTGATGATTCTGACGATCACGATCACAATGATGGTCTTTTTAATTTTTTAAAATTTTATTCCTTCCAGGAAACAGTACAACACACGGAAACAAAGGAAGGTGGAGGCTAGGAGGGGCACATTGGACTAAAACAACTATCACAGGAAATGGTGTGCCCCTCCAGCTAAACATTAAACATCAATCAGAAAAATAGCTATAAAAAATACCCTTCTCTTGTGCATAAAAAGAGCACGCCCATACTTCGTTAATACATGTTTACTAATTAGGCTTAATTAAATATCAACATTATGAAACTGTATTAATTTCATAATAATATAAAGCCACTTTTAAGTTACATCACCAGTTTTCAGCATTCATAATAATTCTACACTTTGGTACCAGTAATAACAAAATATATTCAGTTGATAAAAAGTTGTGGATATAAATGTTACAGCCCCAACCCTATATCAATCCTAAGAATCAACAGATAAACGACTGGGTGAAAAACAGTCTCATTTTTTGTGAAAGTTGTTTGATTTTCGATCCGGCCATTTTCCGGTTGTTTTGTTTCCTGTGGCACCGACCTACGGATCACAAAAATACTATCTATGCTTGCACTTGTTGCCTAAAACTTCATAATGTTCATTCTGACGATATGTAATTAATTCATTTTATGTGCTTAATTCTGGCATAATTCCCAACATTAATGCTAAGCAAATGATATTGAACAAGGTTAATTCAAACATAATCAGTAGTTGTCATGATCCTTAAGGTAATATAATGTAAGAATCCGTAGAAAAACAACTAGGTGGACAATTTTTCGGCCGTGGGGAAACGTGCTGTAACTGCCGGAGCAACAATGAAGGGGGAAAGAGGCCGGCAAGGGGCTTAGTGAGATCCTAAGGCGGAGTCCCAGTGAAGGGATGATCTCCCAAAGCTACAGCCTTTTATTTATTAGTTTTGTTTAGATTGTGCTTATGGTGCTACGCAAGTGACACCTCTTTTGTACTACTTCTTTTCTACTACCACGAATAATGTTTGCCGCCATCTATAGTTAAAAATAAATTGAAACTTTATAATTTTACGAAGCAATTGTACGTAACATTGGCGATTAATAGTATGAGTAAAGAAAAAAACTATGAATATAGAAAGGAAAAAAACAATGCATGTGTATTTTCAAATATACATATTACACTTTTCTCAGATGGTAAACGCTTACAATAAATAGGTTGCAGAAAAAGTAGATATTCATGTTTGTACTTTCTGTGAGTCTTCGATGGTGCTTTTGAAAATGTTTCCTTTGCGTTGCAGTTTATCAATTGTTGACGTATAAGGGTCTTTATGACCTCAGTGGAGTAATGAAGCTACGGTGCATACTTTGGTAAGGGATGGGGCAGTTTACTAGGTCATTAGTTGATTAATGCCCCTACGGAACATATTCGACCCGGTTAACAGTCCCTAACACATAATGCATAATTCGGTTACGGTAGGGGTATGTGTGTAATTAGGACTATAGTAGGATAGCATCCCCACCCCATAATGCATAGTTCGGTACGGTAAGTGTAAGCATATCATTAGTAGGCCTATCTTAGTGGAGTAACATACCCACCCCATTAAGCATAGTTTAGTTACGATAAGTGTATGCGTATAATAGTAGGGCCTACCTTAGTGCGACGCGATCAGTTTATTCGTATAATAAATAACTGCTCACAGTCTCCTGATGGAGTCCACTGTGTGGACGAAAGCTAGAGAATAAATTATATATTGTTAGTCTCAAAAGTGCTGCTGTTTTTTACTTTATACTTTCTATACTGTACAGACTAACGCGGCTATACTTTTTATTCATCATGCTGCTTATTATAGTTATTTGTTTTGTCCTATTCTGTAAATCAAACTTTATCAACAATTTAGCTATCAGCAAAAAAAAATTAATTAAATAGGCCTGTCAGATAAAATGTCTTATAAGCATATTTATAATAGTAGTATAAAGTTTAATTAAGATAATAATATGTATACCTAAATTTAATAAATAAATAAATAATAGTGATCTAGAATTATACACCGAATCAAAGGGCTGACTAGAGCCTCTGTCAGGGCCCCGGCATAAAAAAAAAATCCATGTTTTTTATGGGTTTTTTATACCACAATATTAGAAATTGAAAATAAAAATAACGTTATATGGATATGCTAATTACCATTTTTGGTCCCGGACGATTTCGTCGAATAAAGGCGTTTATTCGAAGCAGGCATTTATTTTGTTTAAATGGATACGTACTGTCTCAAACGCCCCTTAATTCCACTGTTATTAAAATGTAATTCTACTCGAGTAAAACATTAATAGAAAGTGTTGAGAATGATGTTTACATTAGATATGTTTACAGTCAAGGGGGAGTTTATTCAAGGAAAAAATATACGCCACGAGGTGTTTTCGAAAGAGGCGTTTATACCAAATATTCAAAGCGGGGCGTTTACACGGGTACAAATACGGGAATGTAAATATGGCTCCTCCCTGATCCACCCATTATGTTTTTAAAAGCACAGTAAGCCTATACTGTACTTTTGTACGATGGTGACGGCAAACTGGGTTTCGGCAAACTGGGTTGTCATGATTTCGGTGAACTGGATTCGGCAAGCTGGGTTTCGGCATAGAGGCCATTAATTCGGCATACATGGGTTTCGGCAAATTGGATTTTGACAAACTGGTCGGATTCGGCCCCAGTGCTAGACCAATTCGAGGGTGGACGCTAATAAGGGTAAGCGCTGAACTAATAATTTGTAGGTTTAGCCTTGTTGGGCACTACTGTCCTAGGCAGCAATTTTCCTTCAGATATCTGGTTGGTTGTGCACCTGTCTCATAATATCCAAATTACAGTTGAAGCAAGCGTGCATGTGAACTACCGAAACTGTGTCGTAGCCACGTCGTCGCAAAAACATCTTCTAAAATATAGAATTTTGGAATGATGTTTCTTCTAAGTAAGAAAATACACATATAGGTAAGTAGACAGTGTACTATACTGTAGTTGTACAAGCCTGTATGCCTTCATGGTGTTAGATTTAATTGCGGTATTCATTGCTGTGTTGTTTTGAGTCCTTTTCATACAATGGCATTGAACCGGAATATCTGAGTAAAAATGTAAACAACAGTAAAAAAAAAAAAAAAAAAAAAAAAAACAGATTTGATTGCTAAAGATTTTTTGTTGTGTAATGACATACCGTATAGTCGTAGGCAATATAAATCTAAGTACTCTTTAAAAGTAGGCTAAGTGAAATCATTTTAATTAATTTAATAAAGTGTAATATAATATTATTTATATAATGACTTAAAAATAATCTGTGGGTGGTAAAATGCGTTTTAATTTAAATACAGTAGGCCTATTATAACAATCGCTAAGTATATAAATTCATGATCTTAATGCCGTTAATGTTCTCAAAATCATTGTCTGTATATACATTCTATAATTTTTCTATCTAAATCATTTTAATTAATTTAATAAAGTGTAAAATTATTTATATGTGACTTAAAAACGATCCATGGGTCATAAAACTTGCTTTGATTTTAAATTTTAAAAAATTAAAACTTAAAATAAGATACAGTAGGCCTATCATAACAATCGCTAAATATATAAATTCATGATCTTAATGCTGTTAATGTTCTCAAAATCATTGTCTGTATATACATTCTATAATTTTTCTATCTAAATCATTTTAATCAATTTAATAAAGTGTAATATTATTTATATAGTGATATAAAAACGATCCTTGGGTCATAAAACTTGCTTTGATTTTAAATTAAAAAAAGTTTAAATTTCAAATAAAATCTTGATGTATTTATACATTTTAATATATTTCCTGCATTGTATTGGTTTTTCGATATATTGTTGTTTTTTTATAAATATTCTATACCGAATATCTATCTATCTATCTATCT